GAGAAGGGATGCATCAGAGGTTTTTTTTTAAGTGTTAAATATAAAATAAATGTCTAAATTATATCGATTTTCATGAATTGACGTTTAAATTATTTTTTGAATTATCTAGGTGTCTAACGTTACAAACGTTATTTTAGGTGTCTCAGTTCTAGTGTCTATTAAAGAAGCACGTTATGTGGCACGTGTCACAATCTGATATTTTTGAAAATTTATTTTTAAAAAAAATTAAAAAAATATTTTAAAAAAAGTCCCAATTTTTTTCTAAAATATTAAAAAATCCAATTATTCCCAAAATCTCTTATTTTATCCCCTTTTACTCTACCTGCATGTTATATCCAACCATCCCCCAATATTCAATACCTTAAATTTCTTTATTGATAGTGATAATCAGTCGTTTAACCGATTGTACATCGAACCTTTTAGCCATTTGGTCAGATGTCAAGTCGTGAAGATTATAATATTATGGCACGTATCATTTAAGGTGATTATGACCAAAACACTTAAAACAATAATGTTTGCAACATTAAATACCAGAATTATTCAAAAACTAATTTAGACACTAATTCGTGAAGAACGGTATAATTTGAACACTTATTTTATATTTAAGTCTTTAAAAAAATTGTATTTAGGGTGAGAAGAAAATAATGATTTGTGTAGGAGCTGTCAATATTTGATCGAATCAAATTAAATTAAAAAAATTAAGTTACTTAAATTTATGAGTACAACTTTATCTTTCAAAGTTCATATAAATTTTTTTAATCGAGTTTATAAAATTCGAGTATAATAAAACATATATATTTATCTACATTGTTTTTCACATGTGTAAGTAAAATTGTTAATGTTATTAAATTAAATATGATCTATAATTATGTATTAATTTATGATGTTTTTTTTAATAAATATATTTTGATAAAAAAATTGATGAGAATATAAAAAAGTTAAAGAATTGATGGGAAGATATAAATTGTAAAGAATTATTGTCGGAGAACAAAATTTAATAAAATGTAAAGTTGAGAAATTAAATTACAGAAAGATATTTTCAAGTTAGGTCAGAACAAATTTTTATACTAAAAATTAAATTAAATTTTCGTATCAAATAAAATTCTTAAATTCCAACCGAATGATAGGTGAATGAATGTAACATTAAGGCCAATTTCAAATGAGCCAAAAAAAACTTGATCAAAACCCATAAATACCCTAATTCACCAATTACACACGAAACTTTCTGTAACAAAAAAAAAATGTCAATAATAGGGAAAATTCTAGAATGCGTTCCATTCATTGTAATTCACCACTAATTTTATAGGGTAAAACTTACTAATAGTCATTAAACTATGTCAAAATTATCCTTTTGAACATTTAACTTTTAAAAGTTGCATAACGAATATTAAATTTTAATTTTGTTACAAAATGGGCACAAAACCATTAAGAAATATCTTATTTGACCCTTCAATTATAATTAAAATTTAATTTTACTCTTAATTTAATTAATATAATTCTATTAGGTTCGTTGAATTAAAAACAAAATAGATATAGATATGTTGAACCATGTTTATAATATTTGATATAACAAATTAAGAATTGAATTTATTTAAAGTTTTCAAAATAATTCAAAGTCCATTAAAAGTGAATTTGAGCACAAAACTGATTTTCAACGTACGTAGTACCGATACTGTTCTACAGTATCGATATTATATGAACAATATCGATATTGTTCATGTGGTACCGATACCCTAAGTAAAGAAGTATCGATACTCTAGGTAGTACCAATAATACCATCATTGCTCAAATTCCAGAATACAAAAATGATACCGATACCCAAAGGGGTACCGATACTACTTTACATAGTAGTATCGATACATAGGCTTAGTATCGATACCGTCAGACCCAATGGCTAGTAAAGACTAGTTTTATTTAAAATAACAAAGGTAGTACCGATACCCTCTATATTGGGCAGTTTTATTTTGCAGAGAAAACATCCCCAACGGCTAGAAACGACCACAAACACATTTCAACATATAAATACAAGTTCAATACACTTGAAGAGGGGTTAGAACAACTATCAAAGTAATAAAACACAAGAGAAGAACTTTTCAATCTTTATTTATATTTATTGTAAATATTAGTGTTTAGTGAGTTTAATTGTAAACACCTTCCATTTTAGAGGTTTCTTTGTTTATATCTTTTTTCTTTGTGTAAAAGGGGTTTGGTTCTATCTTAGCCAATTGAAAAGATAAGGAGTTTGTAAAGGTTACCTTGATCCTTAAAAAAGAAAGAACAAATTAGTGGATTTTTGAATATCCTTAGTGAGTAGCTAAGGTAATGGAGATAGACTTAGTTGAAAAAGTCAAACCACTATAAATTGTTGTGCAAATTATCTATATTTTTTCTCCTTACTCCCTAAACAAGGTTTTGCCAATTCACCCCATCTTTGTACATTTATCGGTTGTTCAATTGAGCTTCAACAATCCTAACAAGATAAAATAAATATCATCTAATTTTAATTTTATATTATAAATGTTAAATTTGTACCATATAAATTAAAAATTATTTGATATGATATATAAATTATGGATATGATTTTAAAATTGCATTTTAGTTTTGTTAAATAAAAGTTAAATGCTTAAATCTCATCATTAATAAAAAATAATTTTATTATTTGATATATAAATTTTTGAACGTCGAAAATTATAAATTTTTATATTTTAAAAATACAACAACAATTAAATAAATAATAAGTTATAAAATAAATTTTGCTTAATAAAATTTTAATTTCATTATTGATTACTGGATTTTTTGAAAATATTTTTTAATTTTTAAAGTAATTTATTTTCATATTTTTTTAAAAAAATCTAAAAATTCTATTTTTTTAGAATTACAACTTAAAAATGTTGAAAATATTAAAGTGAAATTTTAGTTATAATTTAGGAGCTAAATAAGATATTTTTCATTAATTTAGTATGTTATTCACCTCTTAATAACATTTAAAGATTGTTATTTATTACTTTTAACAAAGTTCAAATTTGTTTATTTTGTAACTTTTAAAAATTCAATGATAAATAAAATTAATATAAAATTTTGTGACTATTTATGAAATTTACCCTATTTTCATATATTTTAAAAAATTCTAAAATTTATAATTTTTTAGAATTACTACTTAAAATGTTGAAAAGATTAAATTAAAATTTTATTTATAAGAATTTGTTTATGAATTTTGTGACTATTTTGTAAAATGAATTATATTTCTTGAAAATTATTTTCTAAAAATTATTTTACGGTGTTTGGATGATGTTGTGTAATTTATCTATTAGTTGGTAAATATTTTAAAAATTATTTTTATAAACATCAAACACAATAAATAAATTTATTTATTAAAAAAATATTATTTTAAAAATATTATATAATATTTATATTATTTATGTGAATATTATTAAAATATTATATATACAATTTATAAATAATTTTTTTATGATAATTATATTTTATTAAAATAAAATTATATTAATCATTTATTAGAATTAAAATACTTATTATTAATTATTATTAATTATTTATAATATTATTAAAATATTAAAAATTATAATAGTAAAATAAGAATCATATTATATTTTAAGGAGTATATATTAAATATTCAACAATATAATATTAATTATATTAATAATTTATTATATATTATTAAATAAAAGTATAATATTATATATTATAATAATATAATTATAACAATAAAATATTATTATATTATTAAAATTATCAATAAATATAATTTAATAATCAATATTTTTATTAAAATGATTCTAAAATATATATTAATATTGAATATATAAAATAATAATGTTTTGAGTGTTCATGTTTTGATGTGAAAAGTTCGTAAAATGACTTAGGGAAAATCAAATAGTAAGTTATTTTTCAGAAAATGAAAAGAAAATTCAATTGGTCAGGAAAGTGAATTATGTTGATTATCTGTTTTCCGCCAACCAAACACTAAAAAATAAGAAAAATATTTTCCGAAAAAACCAATTACAGGGAAACAAACATACCCTTAGATTATTTTCTGTCATTAAATTCAAATGATTTTTTTAATATTTATTATGTGAATATTTTTATGACAACATTACCTAAAATATTGAAGTTATTCACTGTTTATATTTTGATTAATTGCCATAGTTGTTAATAAAACATGATTATCTTAGATTATTTAAAGAAATGAAAGAAAGCATGTAAAAATGACTACATGGATATTATACAGATACAGATAAATTTTGGGGGGAAATGTGTAAAATATAAACTCAACAAGGCTAGTGGTAGGTTATGAAAGAAATTATTTTATTTATATTAATCACAAAATTTGAATTGCATTATTGTTTAGTAAATTGAGGACGAAATCTGCAGGACATAATCTGTAGGTGGAAGGTGTATGGTGGCCCAATTTTAATGGTTTAATCATATTCCAAGTTATTAATAGTTTTGAAACAATTAAATTTAAGTTTTAGTGTTTTTATTTACTTATTTTTAGGGTCATATTGGTTATAAAATTAAGTCTTCACTACTAATTATTTTGGAAGAGAAAAATAAGTTTAAATGATACGATATCTGAATCAGTCATCAGAAAGAATAAAATTTTCTTATATTATTGAGATCATTAAATAAAAATAAAAATTTAAAATGTCGAGATTAAAGAGCTGTTTGAGAATGTTTGGAAGTGTTTTTAACTCAAAATTCTGTTTGAAATACAAAAGCATTCCCAAAAAAATTAAGTTTAAAAAGTGAGTATTGACTCAAACCAATAAACTTAAAAAATTGTATTTTTGCGCTAGAAAATTAGTTGAAAAAACTCATTCTTTAAACAAAAATTAAAATAAAAAGTGTTACCATCGAAAAACACATGTGAATAGAAAAATAATTAACCCTTATAATTGAGAAATTATTTCGTGCATGTCCTTCGGCACTACCCTACCCCGCTATATCCTATCTCCATGATCTTGCCTATAAATTTGGCCTCAAAGCTCAATACAAAGCATCCCTAAGCTGAATTCTCAGTTTCCCCTTCCCCTCCAAAATCCCACAAATTAGTGTTGCTTTTTGCAGTAGAGAGAAAGAGAGGTCCGCGATGGAAGCAACGGCAGGCAGAAAGGAGTTCTATAGCAATTACATGCTATTTAACCCTAAAAAAGCCACGCTGTTCGACCTAATTGCCCTCTTGTTTTCTAAGAATCTAAAGAACAGAAAATTTATTGAAACCAATATCGAAACCGAGGAAAGTTTCTGGTATAGACTGCTTGTGTTCCTTTCCACTCTTGCAGAAGTTTCTGCTCACATAAAGGTACCAATGGCTTTGGCCGGCCAGACTTTTGAGGATATGTGCAACCTTTTCACTAACAATGGTGGCTTGTTTGGTCTCGTAAAACGAGTCATGACAGGTATACATACATATATTTACGTTTAGTTTATATCTTTGTTTAGGGTTCTATATATTTATAGTTTTTACCAATAAATTGGCCACCAACATCCAACTTGCATGATCCTGCATGCGTTAGACCCTCTTTTATATGTTTCTTTTATTTATATATTCTAACCAGTCGTGTATTTGCAGGGCGAGGGCTTAAAATGGGATAATATCTGATTAAGTGATATAATCATTGATTTTTATTATATGAATGTTATAACAAAAACATTACTTAAGTGTTATAATTGTTATAATTAAGTGATATAATTGTTGATAACAATGATTAACTTAATTTATTTTGAGACTTTAGTGTTAAATATTGTTTAATTACTTATAGTTAATAAAAATTAAAGGACTTAGTTAATAAAAAATATCTATCTTTTCCTCCATTCTTAAACTTCTTAAAATTAAAAGGGTTGTTATTTAACTTGTTTTCCAACGTTTGAACATTAATCATTGATTAACTCGAATTGTGATTCTGTGATATTAATTAATTGGAAAAAATATTATTTTATTTATATGCAATGGAAGATTAAAACTCAAGTGTTTAGTTTTACTTAGTAAAATTTAAATACAAAAATATTATTTTATCATGTATTAATCATATTAAATCCAGATATATTCAATTCAATAGTATATTAATTCGACTCATATATTTTAAAGGTCCTTATTCAATTTTCTTCATTCATAATATATGAATTCCAATCTATAATCATGTTTAAGGATAACCGTTTCAACTTAGTTTTCTTTGTTCACAACATTAAATTTTGATTATATATTTTTTCAAAAGAATCCAAGTTTTTTAGGCCAAGCTTTGTGTTTTTTTTATTGTATTTCTTTGCTGGTTGTAATGGTTTCTCAATTGTGTATTACTCTTTTCCTCCATTTAGAAGTAGGGAGGTTTAAAAGAGGCTCACAATTAGAGACTAGGTCTTATTAATAAAAATATCTTGCTGAGAAAAAAATTGTACTTGATGAAAATAATTTATTTTAACCTTATTTGACTCATATCTAAATGGCTTAAGCTAAAAGAAATACTTAAACTGTGCTTTTTTTTTTTGCTTTAAGTATCTAAACTATTTATTGATCAAATTAGGTATTTAAACTATTATATGTAACTAATTTAAGTACCTTAACTAGGTCAAAATGAGTCCCTAAATATACTCTTTCTTTAAAGCCCATGAAATATTTTTTATCAAAACCAAGTACCTAATTTTATATGACGTGTTAGCATCTTATTGGTCAAAAAATAATGTTCTACTTGAAAAAATGTTAGGACTTAAAATAATTAAATATAATAGTTTAAGTACCTAATTTGACCAAATCGATCTGACTCGACCCAACCTGAAATAATAATAAAATATTATTAATTTTTAATAAAAACATCGATTTAATTGAAAAAAAATAATATATAGAGATATTATTGTAATTATTTTTAAATATGTAAGGTAAAATTATTTTTCCGGGTCAGGTATTTTCACCCTAAACTCGAATCTGACCCGACCCGAACATCACCTTAAAAAAATCCAACCCAAACTCGAACCTGATTTTTTAAAAAAAACTCGAGCAGATCGGATCGGGTTCAGGTCTCATGCCCATCCCTAGTTTTAATCGATTGACTTTAGTGAAAAGAATAGATAAGTATTTAAATTTTATTTTTATTTAATTAGTTCCCTTAAGGTTTATTTAATATAAAATTAACCTTGATTTGTTTTAAATTTTTTACAACTTAATCTAAATTATTTTCTGATATTATTTTAATAATATTTTGGTTTCATTCAATAAGAGTATAACACGGTTTATCATTTATGGAAAAGAAAAATAGGAAAACAAATATTAGGATCTCAACCTAAGTTGATATATCTCTGTTCTTGCTGCCTTAAATATTTCTGTCACAGTGTGTATATTTATTTATTACGTAACAAAGACTAAAGTTCTTTACTGTAAAAAAGGGTTTTCTGTGGAAATAAAATACAAAATGGGAAAAGAACAATCTAACAATATAGAACCTATTCGTTTTAGAGGCGTCTGGGTTTCTTTGTTTATTCAGTTGTAATAAAAGTCATAAAGCGTTGAATTTTTTATATTTATTCTGTAATATGGAATAGGGAAGGTGGTGATTCCAGACAGAGAAGCAGCGAACTATCTTTCAGCTGTTGGATTCACGGACCCGAGAATGGAGTTAAGCAAAGACATTGTTTATGGAGACTCCATGTATTATCCAGTTCTTTCCATTATGGCTGCTAAAGCTGTTTACAATAATGGTGCTTATAACAAATCTATTGTCGAAGACCATTGGGGAGTACGTTAATATAATGTTTTTTTTTAATTTCCATTGCTCGAACATCATTGGATTTGGACCTGACATTAGTTGCTGTCTTTGTCTGCAGATGCAACTCATTGGATTCAAGAATTATTGGAATGGTAGGATTAAACAACTATATTGATTAGGTTATTACGTATGGGTTCAGATGATTAATCCGATGGATTTACTTTGACCAGATTTCATACTACAACCGGACACCCAAGTTACTCTATTCCGGAACAAAACCGCCGATCACGACACCATCGTTGTTTGTTTCAGAGGAACACAGCCATTCAGTGCCGATGATTGGAGTACGGACATCGATTTGTCTTGGTACGAGTTCCCCGGAATCGGAAAGGTTCACAGTGGTTTCTTAAAAGCCTTAGGGATGCAAAAAGTCGTCGGATGGCCCAAGTTCGTCGTCCCCGATATCACCCGTCGTGCGCCGTTGGCTTATTACGACATAAGGAATATCTTGAAGGACCTTTTGAAACAAAACCCCGATGCCAAATTCATAGTGACCGGCCACAGTTTGGGCGGTGCGTTGGCCGCTCTTTTCCCGGCGATCTTGTTTTACCACGACGACCAATTGTTGCTGGAGAGGATGGAAGGCGTTTACACGTTTGGCCAACCCAGGGTCGGAGACGACGCTTTTGGGATTTACATGGAGAAGAATCTGAACAAGAACGGGATCGGGTTTTACAGATACGTTTACTGTTATGATTTGGTTCCTAGGGTTCCTTTCGACGCCATGTTCAAGCACTTCGGCACCTGCGTTTTCTACAACAGTAAATATCAAGCAAAGGTAATATTGTCAAGGTCGTACTCGTTCATTATCTGCATGTACTCATTCGTTTGACCTAATTGCAGATAGTTGAGGATGTGCCATACAAGAACTACTTCTCGCTCTTCGGGTTTATTCCGATCCATTTGAACGCCATTTATGAGGTGATAAGGAGCTTCACGATGAGAAGCAAATATGGATCGGATTATACCGACGGGTGGTTGATGTTCGGCGTCAGATTATTCGGACTTCTGATCCCTGGAATCGCGAATCATTGCCCACAAGACTACGTTAACTCCACTCGTCTCGGCAAACCCGACGACGTTTTGTTCCTCCCTCTCCACACCAAGAAGGCTCTTGGTTTTGAAGTGCCCTTGTTAGCTGCATAACTTAATATGGCCTCAGAACGTTGGTTGCCGCTGCTGATGTATTGTGTAGAAAAATAACCGGAAGGTATTCTAGTACCACCAGGGTTGAAACCTAGCTATGTTATGTATATTAATTATGCTTCATCCATGTTAAAAGAACTTTCATGTATTTTCATCTTGGTTTGTGAGAATAAAACGGAAACGTTTTCTTCCGATCAGTAGACTAAAAAAAATTAGTAGAAAATCCTCAATAATCTCAATTTTCCCCTATCTTCTCTCTAAGTTCTATGAACAAAAGCAAGGAATCAGAGTGATAATGATGACGATGCGAGAGGAAGGTGATGGAAGAAGATGAAAATTGTGAGTCATCCATATGTGTTCGCTCTATATTTATAATAATAAGAAAAACTCCCTTTTTAATAAAATAACAAATTAAGGACATTTTTCTTTTTAATTATTATTCCAAATATTCATAAATTCCAACCAATCATTTAATTCTTTTATATAATAAAAAGTAGTTTATATTTGAAATAGTAACCATTTAAATTGACCCATCATATTTTTTTTAACTTTTATTAATATCATATTTAACTCTCAACCATTAAACATTGAACATCACACTCATGACATTAATGATTTTCGAACTTATAATCTTAAGGAATAACAACTTTAGATACCTCATTTTTCCACCATTTCCCACTACCCCCAATTAAATACCATTATTTTTATTATTTAAAAACCCCATGTGATTGCATATCATATTTTAATATTCCCACCATATACCACCCAAAAACATAAAAAAAATTCAGACCAAATTAACTCCACTAAAACCCACCAAATTAATAAAAAAATCATCCACTCAAAATCCACAAAATACAACCTAACCCACCAAATCAATAAAAAATTTACCACTACTCAAACCCACTCAAACCTAATCCATCCACTAAACCCACTACCTACAATGATAAAAAGAACAAGGCGGAAAACACGAAGAGGAGGGGGAAAAAGGTTCAAAAAAAAGAAAGAACAAAAAATGAACAAAGAGAACAGTGAGAGTCGAACAGGGGGTCATTGGAAAGCAGTAAGGTATAATGGGGATTCATTGTAAAGGGAAGAAAAACGAGATGAGAAAACCATTGTAGCAAGAATCTTACTTTTGTATTCAAAAAAAATCGAAAGCAAATTAATACGAGGATTTTCAAGGTATTCTTCTTGGGGTATTCTTTTTGGTTTTTCTAGTTTTTGTGTGTGCATGTGATATTTTGCAACTAAATGAAATAAGCAATAACCATTTGAAACATCTGCATAAGAAAAGTGAATGAAAACAGTAAAGAAGATTTAGTTTTCTACCTTATTTCGGTTCGGTGTAGTCAGAGTTGAGTGATGCCACACTCTTGTCGGGATTAGTCGGTGTTCTCACCGGATTTGAGATAGCATGGAGGTCGAGGATTCGATAGGAAAATGTGAAGCTTTGGGTTAGTTTTTGAGGTTTTACATATAGATAGGGGTTTTATTTTAAGTTTGGAGGCTTGGTATTGGGATTGGTCTCCCGTCGTAGATCGGAGAGTGGCCAATTTGCGGCGTTTCTAGCGGCGGTGAGTTGTCGCGGTTTAGGTGATGGCTATGGTCGTTGGGGTATCTGTTAAAGATGAGCGGCGTGAGGGGGTCTTTTGGGAGTGAGTAGCGCTGCATGGAAGATGAAGAAGAAGATAGGGGAGAAGGGATAGAGAGAAAACGGCTGGAGAGATAGAAAGGGGGTGAAGCAAATGAGTTTGGTTTTTTTACCCTATATGTTATATATATTAGAAGAGTAAAACGGTTGCGTTTCAGTCGGTTAATTTACCCGTGTTTGTGATTGGGATAATAACGTGAGAAATCCTTCATTTTTAGAAATGATACGTTTTAGTCCTCAAATCGAGTCTTTTAAGTTTTTAATTCGGTCTTTATACATTATTATCTTTTAATTTTAGTCCTGAATGTATTGTATTTATTTATGTTGTTTAGACATTTCAATTTTAATTTTTTTTCATGTTTTATTTTAATCCCGAGGTCGAAGTTTTCATTTTTATAATTTTGTATATTTAATTTAAGTGTATTTCATTTTAGTCGTAGTGTTAATTTCTTTAATTTTTGTTGTTTAGACATTAGGATTCTATATTTTTGCATATTAGTCATGTAGGCACTGTTTTGTAATTTTTCCATTTTTTATGTCTAATTTTATTTTTTTAGAAAAATTCCATTTAGGTCCTTAAATTTTTAAGTTCTCCTAGAGCCTTTAAGAACCGCAGGATTTATGAGTACCATATAAAAGTATAATGATGATTTAAATAGTTGAATATAACATGTACCCAAAGTCAGAAAAGAAAAAAAAAGTATAAAAGTAAAAGGAGGGAGTCAGAGAGTTGTTGCGTTATTGAACTGCCCCACAATGTAAAACCCATTTTTAATATCAAACTCGCTCTTTATTTTATTATTTATACAAAATTTAAATTGATTGGTTTCTTTTATATATATAAATAAAAGTTATTATATATTTAATAGATCAACGATTATTTTGCATTTAAATATATTAAAATTCATATTATTTTACCACCAATTACGTAAAACAATTTCAATATTATTATAAGAATATTATGATCTATTTGGTTTTATACATTAGTTTTAGTTGAGTTTTCGCAACAAATGTCTGATTACTCGAATCGATTGTTCGAATTTTAAAATTAATTAATAATAAATATTTTCTAAAACAAACTTTAAGTTTAATAACTTAGAGTAATTAGATTTTTAATTAGTTCTTTAAATTTATAAGTTGTCATTTTAGGTTATTATTTTTTAAGTCTTTTAGAATTCGATACTTTAAACCTCAACCTTTTTAGTTCTTATCCTTAAACTTAGATTTGAAAAAATCAAATATGATTAATATTAGAACTTACATTTTAGATTTAAGCCTCTGGGTTCCTTAATTTTTATAATTTGACACTTTAAGTTAGAAAAGACCTTAATTTACTTTTAGTTTAATTAAGACAAATAAAATTTTGTTTGATTGCATTGTTTTTACAAATCTAAGGCACTGTTCACTTATTAAGGAATTAATAGTATATCTCCCTCGATCGTGCTCAGGGGGTGACTACTGGTAATTCCCTGAATAAGTCAACATCCTTTTCAAAACTACATCATGTTTTCTAAAACTAAGGCAATATTCGGTTATTAGGCACAATAACTGATTTTCCGCATTTACGCTCGGGGGCGAATGCTATCGGTCTCGATAAACGAATACCCTTTTTTCAACTTTACATCCTTAATGATTTTTAAATTAAATAAAGATCAAACTTCAAATTTCTGATTTTAAATATAGGATAATCAACTAGGTACTAATTTTTAGGCGCTTGTGGGGGTGTTAATCCTTCCCCACGCGTAACTGACTCCCGAACCTATTTTCTGGATTTTCGCAGACTCCAAAACTCGGTATTTTATTAAAATAAAATGTTTTATTAAAATCACCCGGTTTTTACGGTGTTCCAATCTCACCTTAAATTATTGGTGGCGACTCCTCACATTTTCGAAACGATTTTCAAAGAGAAAACCCGTCGGTATCGGACTTTTCCCCTCCCGGGCGAAGAACAGTTACGACAACAACAATTCATTTACCATCGAGATCGCTTGGTTTGTGCGACAATTTCTAGGGGGAAGAGAGAATGTAATTTTACTTCTGATGAGAATTAACCTACAACTTAAAAGAAAATAAAAGTGTTAACCGGAAACTTCTAATCACTTACTTTAGAAATTTGATAAATTAACACATCATATTAAACTTTAAAAAATATATATATAAGCTATAAAATACAACTAACATTATGATTGATCGAATTACACCCTCATAAATTTTTGTACGTTACAATACTAAATATCACAGCTTACAAGATACTAATTAATTGTGAATATAGGCTTAAGTTCTAAGAATTCTGCCTCATTCCAAAAGTTATAAAAAAAACCGTAACTTTAAATCTAAACCTTCCCTTGTTAGACGAGAGAAAGGCTTGGCTTAACCAATTAGCTCCCATGGTAATATGATTCTTCTCTTATTTTGTTAAAGGGACGAATATTTAGCTCTACGTTATTTCTTACAATATAGTATGAAAATGTAATTATTATCTTAATAATCACATGTGATTGTAATTATAATGATGTCTAGTTTCTTAGACATGTTGACTAGTAGAGTATCATTGCATCTTAATTTTTTGTCTTGTTTGCAATACAAATTGTAATTGTACAATTAAAAAATTTGAATTTTAAAATAATATTATTAAAACTTAAAAATGTAATTACATTAATGTTCACCCTTTTCTTCTTAGAATTGAGATATGTAAGTAGAGGCCTCTAAATATATTTAATTCAACAAAACCCACAAATTACAATTGTTATCCAAAAACATTACAACTGCATAATTAAAACTAAATCCAATTACAATGTCCAAGAAAGTTCACGTTTTAATGAGCAAATCATGTTAATTGCCAAAGGAAAATACTCATATTTTTAAGAGAATATTTTTTAAGTTTTATTAAGCACGGTAAATGCCTAAGCATATAATCATTAATTTAATCATTAAAACTTTCTAAATTTTCAATTTCATCCAGTAAAAAAAACAAAATGCAGTCGCTGTCTTTTTTTCTTTAGAGTTTTAGTTGTTTTCTATGGATCAAAACAATTTTTATTCTTTGACTTTGTGTAGTTAGCGTCTAAGGCCGCACGTTTCAGAAGTCTAAGGGCATGACAATCGCACATTTCTGAATTGGAATCTATGTGGGCGTGACAATATACATACACGATGAGATTGCCATCCTTTTTTTTATTACGAATTACAGGTAGACCTTGCTAAAACCCATGCTTTGTTGAAGTTTCATGGATTAAATATCTTCATATAATATTTTGATCCAGGATTATGATCTTTCTTGTTATACCAAATGATTCTCGGCATGATACGAGCCACTTAATGTATATATACATGATTCTGCTCCCACGTGGAGGTTTGATTCCATCCACCATTTATGGACATAGGCCATTTTTTAATGAACTGTTTGCCTAGTGTTCCATGAGGAAATACTCTTAACAAAATAAAATTTAAAATTACAACATTTAGATGCACGATCCTAATCCTATTAAAAAAACATGTGTGATCAACTCGAATAAAATACGAAAGAAAATTATTTATTTTATCATCCTAGCCCTATTAGTTAAATGCATGTCACGCAAAATAGCCATAATTATTCTGGCTCAACTCGAATAAAATACGCAAGGCAACTTGCAGTAGCCCAACATGATTGACTCCAATAAAATATGAACATATTCTGGTCTCTCTTAGCTCCACTGTTTTATGGACTATAAATTAGGCATCAAACCTCAATAGCAAAGCATCTCCCAAATCAATCAAACCCCTCCCCAGGACGTAGTGTTCAATCAGCAGCGCAAATCATGGGATCCAGATTGGTAAATTTTTTTCAAGTAAACCCCAAGGAAGCCTCTTCCATTGATCTTGTTAAACTCTTGTTTTCTAGTAATATAAAGAAGAGGAAATTTATCAATTCTTCTTTCGACAGAGAGGAAAGTTTCACATATAGGTTTATTATAGTTCTTTCGGTACTGGTACAAAAGTTTCTGCTTATGATGTCGTCCCCAGTGGAGTTGATGGGTAGCTTACTAGAATATGTACTCAACTTTCATTACGCTAATGGTGGCTTCTTTGGTCTCGTAAGAAATATCATGCATGGTATTTATTTAATCTTTACGCCCTTTTCTTGGTAGTAATTTTCACAAACATTGTCTGATTATGTCTCCCTCTACGTTGAACAGTGAAGGTCGTGATTCCACACTGGAACTCCGCAAATTTTCTGTCTTTAATAGGACTTTTAGACGCGAGAAAGGAGTTAGACAGTGAAATTAAACATGGGGATCCCATGTATTATCCAGCACTCTCGATTATGGCTTGTAAAACAGTTTACAGCAATGCTGCTTATAACCAAGCTGTAATCGAAGGTCCATGGAAGGTATATATGAGTGCTTATTATTATTATTTATCAAAGTAATTAGATCAGTAAACTTCCATTAATTGTTTGCAATGTTTTTCCATCTGCAGATGGAGTTCTTGGGATTCAAAAATTACTGGAACGGTACCCATTTCAACGACTTCATTTTCATTATTTTTTAATTTATTAATCGATTTATTTTGCTAATTATTGATGTCTTGCGGTAGATTTTACTGGAAAACCCGACACACAAGTTGTGATGTTTAGAGATAAAGGTGTTGACCACGACACCATCGTTGTTTGCTTCAGAGGAACCGAACCGTTTAATCTCAATGATTGGTGTTCGGACGTAGACTTGTCTTGGCACGAAATCCGCGATATCGGGAGGATCCACAGCGGCTTCATGAAAGCCTTGGGGATGCAAAGTGATGTAGGATGGCCGGATGAAGTGGATAACGATTCATACTCCGGTGGCCGCAAAGCAGCTCTGGCTTACTACGACATAAGGGACACGTTGAGAACCCTTTTGAGGAAAAACCCCGACACCAAATTTATAGTGACGGGCCACAGTTTGGGCGGCGCGTTGGCTGCTCTTTTCCCGGCGATTTGCTTTTACCACGACGAACGATTGTTGCTCGACAGAATGGAGGCGATTTACACGTTCGGACAACCCAGAGTCGGCGATGAAGCATTCGGGAATTACATGAATATTAATCTGAAAAGGCGCGGTATTCAATATTACAGATACGTTTACTGTAATGATGTGGTTCCTAGGGTTCCTCCTAACCTCGTGTTCAAACACTTTGGTACCTGCGTTTACTACGACAGCAGATATCAATCGTCGGTAAAAAAAAATCATTTCTTTCTGTTACTCAAACTAAATTTTACTGCTAATATATCTTATTTAAAAAACTGAGTGTCAATTTTAATTTGAATGCAGATAGTTAAAGAAGTTCCATATGAGAACTACTTTTCAATTTGGGGCGGTATTGCGATGCTAAAAAACGCCATCTTTGAGCTGCTAAGAGGCTTCGTTATGGGGAGAAGGTACGGAGAAGATTACAAGGAAAGTTGGCTGCTATTTGGAATGAGAATGATTGGATTGCTGATTCCTGGTTTGCCTGCTCATTGTCCCCAAGATTATGTCAACTCTACTCGTCTCGGAACCGTCCATCTTATTCACCGTATCTTCCACCATTAAAATCTCACCTCGAGGGGTGCATGCCCTTGCTAGCCTGTACCAGATCTGCCATTGGATTTCGCCCTAGGTTTGCATTTGTCTTTCAAGTTGATGTTTTCCTTTTTTCCAGTTTGTTGTAAGATCTAAGTTTTAATAACAAGTTGGTTTAGGGTTTACCAACGTCAAATCGATCTTTGAATTCTACTTGCGATTTATGTGTTTTACAAAAATGCATGGCAGATGAAATAAGATTTAAGAATGATTCAATGACAAGGTTTAAGGAGTGAATCACTTTTAAGGCTTTCATTTTACTTTTAAGATATAACAAATCGGAGTTGATAATATTCTTAAAACCCTTACGAGAATAATATTATTAATCTAATTTAAAATAATATTTTTTAAACATAATGTTATGCATACAGATTTAATTCTAATTATAAATAAAAAGGAATTATAAAAAGATATTAATTTCAAGAGTTAAAATAATAATTAATATTTTAAAAGACATGGAATGGAATTCACACTTTCTCATAATTATTTTTTGTGTTTAAGTTCACTTTGTTTGGAATGATGTCTTTAACTCTGGCACTCAACTTGTGCGAATCTTTCGATATACTATTGTATAAAATATAATATACTTATTATGAATACTACGACCCATGTATAATATATAATACATAATTTATGTATACTATTATATTGATTAAGGGACACGACCTATGCATACTACGAGCCATGTATAAAATATAATATCATTCTCTCTATATATAAATGTTCTGATTTGATTATTCCGTTGTCAAATTAGATACAAAATATTATTTGATTTATGGGTAAACTATACCAAAGACCACCCAACAATAACTTCTTTTCATTTTGACCACCATTTTTGAATTTTTGTCAATCAGACCACCTAAATATTTAAATGCATTCAATCAAGCTACTAGCATTTAGTAAAATTGGTATAATTCTATATTTGGTCCCTATTACTTATATATTATATCAATTGAATCCTAATTTTAATTTAATTTAAAAAAATCACTCACTAATCAGGAAGTGCCACCTTTCAACTGATCTAATGACACATTTCTTTATGGACACGTGCCGCCACTTGGTTGGAATTTTTTTTTAAATCTATTTTAATATTTCAATTGAATAATTTTTCAACCAATTACCGTTTTAAATGGAAAATAAATCCAAATTGAAGATGACATTTCGGGGAATCGAACCAATGCCCAATGGCATCTCTAGCGACACCTCAACCACTAGTGTAAAATAATACGAAAATGAAAAGGTTTTGATGCAAATTTAAATTACCATGGTTTTCAGAACCGGCCATGCTACCGGTTCGCTGGTTCAACCGATCGAATCGTTCCGATCGGTTGGAAGAACCGGACGACGTCATAATTATTTAAAAAATTAAATAAAAATATCAAAAATATTTAATAAAAAATAATTTTTTATATCACAAGTCATAACATATATAAGTTAAAAATCATAAAATCAAGTGAAACAAAATGATTCAAATTAACTACAACATAATAATTAAGGTAAAACATATTCAATAATAAATATAATTATATAACTATAATTAAAAAATAAATTTGGGGCTAAAAAATCATAACAAAATAATATTGTTTGGTTTAATTTTTTAAAAAAACAATCCCATATGGCTAAGAAACTTAGAAGAGCATCCCAACTAACTTCTATAAATAATAGATGTAATTTGGCATTCAAAATCATGGAACCTTTTGGTGAGCATTGAGTGAATTATTCTTTCACTTCAATTAAGCTCGAATTTTAGGCTTCAATCGAGCTTCTAATTTTTTTTTTGAGTTCAAGCCTTTTCGAGTTCAAGTTTCAATATTATATTTTGAGTTCGAGTTGAACTTGATAATTTTTAGCTCGTGAGTTTGAGTCGAGTTGAGCTTACTTTTAAAGTTTTCAAGTTCGAGTCGAGCTCAGCAATACTCGAGTTCGAATTGGCTCGTTTAACAAACAACGTCGTTTGGTTTAATTTTTTTTAAAAAAACAAAGCAAAAATGGCGGTTTTTCCCGTTTTTTTTTTCGGTTTTCAGCCGGTCCGGTTTGAACGGTTCAGCGGTTCCGGCCGGTTCACTAATAGCGGTTCAACCGGTGTAGATTGAACAGGACTAGGCAACGGTTCCCGATTGAACCGGCCGGTCTGGTCCGGTTTTCAAAACAATGCAAATTACATATTTTAGAGAAAAAAAAATCTGTTAATGGTGTTTAAAAAAAACTGTTAATGGCATATATTTAAAGTTAATGTATTTAAGATTTATATATTTGTGAATTAAATTATGTTTTTATGTTTTTATATTATTTTTAAATGAATAGGGATCAAATGTAGAATTATACCAATTTTACTAACTACCACGTCACCACTTCCGTTAACTATTAACGGCTAGTGGTCTGATTGAATGCATTTAAATAGTTAGGTGGTCTGATTGACAATAGTTCAAAAATAGTGGTCAAAATGAAAAGGGACTATTGCTGGATGCCCTTACCGGTGGTGTTGCTATGGATGGTCAGAGGAAGACTCGTGTGGCTTCTTTGGGAGTTGTTGTTCTGCTTAATGAAATCAAGACTAAGAAGAAAGATCATGCTGAGAAAGTTAAAACTAATGAGGTAACTTCTGGTATTGGTTGTGGTGCTCTCCCTATTTCTTCTTGATGATTGTGTATTTCTGGAATGTAAGAGGGGTTAATAACCCTTTAAAGCATGTTAAGGTGTTAAAGAGATTAGATAATATAGGGGTAGATGTGATTTGTTTTATGGATACTAGAATTAGAAGAGTTAATTTTGCTAGAGTTTTTTCTGCATTGTCTGTTGATTGGCATTGTTGTGCCAATTAATTTCATTGATGGGGTTGTTTATGGATTTTGTGGAAGAAGCAGTGGTCTTTTTCTATTTTGAGAAGTAGTGATCAAGCTCTTTCTATTGTGGGAAATTTTGTTGGGCACGGGACAATGATTACTGTTGTCTATGGAAGTAATAGATGTATGGTCAGAAAGGGGCTTTAGGATCATTTGAAGAATCTGGAGGGTGACATTGGAATATATTCCAATTAAAGGTGTTTCTTTTCAATCGTACCATGTAGAATGCAAAGTACATTTAATTTTGCGTCAGAGTTGATGCAAGAACCACTATATATAGGAACCCAACTTATAGGTTTCTCTCACATCGCTTGCTTTGAATCTTCTCTACTTCTCTTATTTTATTACTTTTAAAACTCTAATATTCGATATTGTCTCAGGGTTATTGAGACTTGATCGGGAACATATATGTAACTACTGATGGAGAATTCCTGAGGTAAATTTATTTTTTATTTAATTAATGTAATACCCAAAATATTGGGTCAGTGACTATAATTGAAAGGATTTAAAATTTAGGGGATTAAATTTAATAAAGGGTAAAGTATAAGAAATGATTTAGAATTTGTGATTAAGACCAATTAGTAAGAATGGAATAATGAAAGGGTATTTTGGTCCTAGAGGGAAATAAATTTAAAATTCATTTTATTTAAGGTATTTAAGAAAAGGGGAAAATGGGATAAACAAGCTAAGTTCTCTTCTTCTTCCTCGTTACCCATGCTCTCCTCCATAGGCAAAGGTAAGGCTTCATCTAGCTAGATTTTCCTTTCGTTTCTAGTTTGTTCTTGAAACCTTAAGTGATGTGTAAGCTTAAGGAAGGGTTAAAGAGGATTAAAACTAAGAAATTGATGACTTATTTGAGATTGAAAAAAATTGGTTTTTGAGTGATTTGTTGAAATATGAGTTTTTATTGATGTTTAAAAGTATACTTGACTTGTCACAAAAGTAAATAAAAGATTAGAAGCCTTGGATGTTATTAAAAACATGTTAGAAAATTATTATGATTCTTGGTTTGGAGTGTTCTTTAGAGAATTATGGTGTTATAAGAAGCTAAATGGAGGAAAGTTAGTTAAGTAATGGTGAGTTTAATGGTATTGTTGGAGGTAAAAGTAAGAGATTTAAGCGAAATTATGGTAAAAATTGAGCTGATGAAAATCTGGGTAAGGGTATTGGTACTGGAAGAACATTACCAATACTATAGGTTTAAATTTGAAGAAATAAGATGAACAATACTGATACTAATACAATTAGTATCGATACCATGGATTCTAGAATACAGAAATGGTATTGATACTGAAAGAGAGTATCGGTATCATAATATAGAAGTATCTATACCATACTAGGGGTACCGATACTATTGAACCTGAAATGTTTTAAATATGATAAATTTTAATAGAAATTGAATATAATAATACTTTTAAGTATTATTAAAGTATAAATGTTCGAGAGTATACTAACATTTGTATGGTATGTGAAATATTGGATGCTTGAGTAGATCATAACCAAGCTCTGGAGTCAAGCAAGAGAAAAGGGAAGGATAAAGTTATCGAATAGTCAGACATCATTGTAGCATACTAGTGAGGCATACCAGGTGAGTGCATTTATTATGTACATTAAGAGTTATAGTAGCATTGGGTTAAATGCATATGTTACATTGTTATATCAGTACTATGTGTACAATCGACACTAAGTATGTAACCCACGGAATTCATAATATGTTTATGAACGACCGTATCGACACTAAGTGTGCTACCCACATAATTCATAATATGTTTATGAACGATCGTATCGACACTAAGTGTGCAACCCACGGAATTCATAATATGTTTATGAACGTCCATATCGACACTAAGTGTGCAACCCAAAAAATTCATATTATGTTTATGAATGACTGTATCGGCTCTACGTGTGCACCCCAAAGAACTTATAATGATTTGAAAATAATTAAATTCGAATTTGATAGTTATGATAAACTGATGTATTTGATTTCACCTCATTAGTGTTATTGCCTCACAAAGTAAATACTTAACGTGTGTTTATTTCACACGTAGGTTTTTAGCGAGAATAGTAAGGAGTGCATCTGACATTGTTATTCAAGAGTTGCCTCATCAGTAAATGTACGACAACTATGTCCACTTTTAATGTTGTTAGTTGGCTTGTAATAGATTTATTATAATTCTCTGAAAAGTATTTTGAACTATGATGATATAAAATTTTTAAAGATGTTCAAAC